AAAAAAAAAAAAAAAAAAAAAAAAAAAAAAAAAACGGCGCTCTTGCTGAAAGACAACTTTCTACGACTTAGAAACGGTTTAAATGATATACGATTTCCATAACGGATAGCCAGTTGAAATAAAATGGATAAATACGTCATTTGCAAAGTTGGCTTATGGTCATTCATGACCTGGCCAATTATTCAGGGCTAGTTACAAAAGAAATGGGTTGAATTCGTGGGGTGACTTCGATCGGAGGGAAAAGGTAAAAATGAAAAATAAAGTAACAAGCAACCTGGTTAGGGAATGACACAGATCTTTTCACAATACCTCTGTGCTTGATTAAGCCGCTAAATGTTTTTTATTAAACCCAGTTCCAGAATTTTCAGGCGTAACGATTAACAGAGTTTCGGGATATAATCAGATATCGAGTGAATAAAGTTACGTAAAATATTAAAGACACACTACGGTAATCTACTGTAATCATTTGAATTCACTAAGTACTAAGAACGGACCTTGAGACGGAGAGACGGTGCTGCTGCACGTGTGAAGAGGTTTGAGACCTGATTTCCTATTCTTGTCATATTTTTCTTCGTGCAATTATGTTAAAAATAGTAAGCTTTATATAATCAGTCTTAGTCATAACATAAATAAATAAATTATTATAACATAAGCATTATTTATCTAAAATGGATGTGAACGTAACTAAATTAATAACATTATGATTTCTATACTGACCCGCAAATAATTAAGTCATTTGGACACAATAAGAAAGTCCTTGGCCCATTGAGGAAGTTATCCCCGTGATGTGCACTTTTTTATTATTTTACTATATGTCAGGTTTATTTAAATTATTCCTAGCATGCGATACTTTGTCCTGGCAGTTCACATACAACGCGTTTGTGTACTTATTACGTACCATTTTCTCTTTCTCATTTTTACACTTACTTCGAGCCGGGTTGACAATATTCTCTTAACATTGTCATCGTGGGTGTTATTATTCGTGCTTTTGAACTCTCACAATTTTACATTAATTTTTTTAATGTAGTTCCTGATGCTTGTTTCCCGGTATGGTATTTAGCCTGATTTTATGCTTCTGTTCGTTCCATTCTCAACATTTATATGTCAAGCACTGGTACATGAATATCATAGTATGTTTGAAAATATATACCGTGTCCTCCCTATGAATAAAGGTTATAACTATATGTACTTTCGTTACTACCCTGGCAAGTGCATACTTACCAGGGTCCTGGTACACTGACATCTGTTGATACTCACGTATTCAACAATTTCACAATTTTTTATATACTGCCTGTTCGTTGCCCAGTAGAGCTAGTCCCTTGATATCTTTTCAAACCATTTCCATAATTGTGAGTATAATAATGTTTATACATTTCAGGGGCGGATTTAGGCCGCCTTCTGGGTCTTCCGGAAGACGGTCAGATTTTCAAGTTTACATTGACGGTCATCTAATTTTTTCTGTCGGAAAACGGTCAAAAGTGGAGGATGGATCAATTAAGATAATTCGGAAGCCTGTCAGAAAATATGTCTGGATCCACCCCAGGATTCTGTTTAACTCACTACAGTGTACACTTAATCTGTCACTTTTAGCTAGTTGTTGGTAAAAAAACATAACCATGTTCTTGCAAAAGAATTCATGCTCTTTAACCAATAGGAGGGTCTCAATTGTCAGTAATTAGGCTAATCTGACCTTGATCTTTTTGAATGAACTGTGTCGTTTACTGATCAGTAGTCACTAGCAGTATCCTAACTTTCCTTACATTGTTCATTATAGTGACGACCAAGATCACGAGAGGTGATGCGTCAATTTGACTGCTTCGATTGGTAGGTCAATCCACCGCAGTGGTAGGAAAAAAGTTCCATTCTTAGTGTTCAAACCATGGTAAAAATACAAGAAATATGAAGCTAACGAACCCAAAAGTAATTACTTTGGGTCGTTTGGGATTAACAACACTTCAAATATTTTACACTCCCAAAAATGGAATAACATGTCCATTTCTAAACGTATTTTCCGGCCAAACCTTATGAACTAAGCAGTTAACACCCTTTTCATGCTGCACTGCTTACATACTAGTACATCTCACTCAGCAGTCGCTAGCCAATAGAATGACATCTTCCCCTTTAAAAACAGTGCCGTCAACTCCGCACCCACTTTTAGAGTCACACCAGGCAAGCGGCAACGTTTGCGGGCATCAAGTGAAATACTGCTGCAGCATCTACCGAATTCCACTGACGGCTTCAAAACCAATTATCTATCCGAACTGGTACAGCACATATGTGAGTATAGTTGATATTTACTTGGTATCAATGTAGAAGTGTCTCGGAAGAATTAAAAAAGGCCCTTCTAAGTGTAATTTTTAAATTTATTTACCCCTTCGTATACTCGATAACAGAAAGGATGTCGTGGATATCGAGAAATACGATAAAATACTGTATTATACTGTGAATACTGTAGAGAAAGTTTTTTCTTTTTGTGTGTGTGTGTGTGTGTGTGTAGAGGAGTTGACTGTTCCGCCACAGCTATGTCCACTCACGACTTAAAAACTCCTCTGACACCCACGGACACGCCCTAACAGCGGTGTCACGCGGTCAGCTTTCTCACATGACTATCACGAAATCTGCTCAGGCGGTATCATTCAGGATTGTATAATCCACAAATTATTGTCTTTTACATGGTTGTTCTGTTATATACGTCTTTATTATTTGATTTTACCTGAAATGCACCGCGCAATAACCAGAAATGTTAAAGCTAAAAAAGAATTTTTCACATTTGTTTATTTCTACCACCCCTTTTACAGCATTTTTACAATTATAAAATGAGGTTTGGGACCGCTATTATAGCCTCTCTTAATACCCGTGTTCTTTTGATGTAATGAATAACCATGGTACATGTAGGGAGACAATATCTTGACGAAAAATTTGATAGGAAACAGTGACATAATTTTATTGTAAATGATCTTTAGTATCAACTTCATAGTATTAATATATGAACAATAGAGACGGCCGTTTTATTTTATTTACTAGTATCAACTGGTAATTCTACCAACAACGTGGCACAGTGTACCATATGCAGTCTCATTCTTACAGATTAAAATAAAATGATTAATGGTTTCCTTTTCATCTTGTCTTTTGTGTTTAAAGACTGATTTCGATACCTATAATAGTTATCTGCATTTGGTTTTCCTACTTCTTGCAGATCTTGAAAAAATCTACCAAAAGATAAAATCTTCTCCAACCGTGTTTCAGGATGGTCGTCCCAGTACGTTGGTGCCTTCTGTTGATGATTGTCACATTCCATTCGTCACCAAGCAGCGGATGGCTTAACAACATATTCAAAAAGATACGAGAGTGTCAGAATAAACGGAAGGTTGGCCTCACTGGAAGGAGTCACGCAGATATCGTCGCCGCCGCGAAATTGTGGGCGCCGGTTGTCCGGTTGGCCGTGGGAGAGGAATGGAAACCATCCAGCGTCGATTATTTCCTCCAACACGTCAACTTACGCGGTGGCAGTCCGACTTTCGTCACTCCGAGCACACTGCCCACCTGTAACAGCAACTGTTACCTTGAAACTAAGACGCCGTTATCTTGTCCCTCGTGCCGAGAACCTGCCGTCTTTAAAGGTCAGGATCCTGCCAGCGCCCCAGCATATGCTATATACGAAGACAAGGGTAGCGTTGTTGAAATCACTTATTGGTTTTTCTTTCCATACAACAGAGGAAAACGGGCGTGTGTGGGATTATATTTTGATAACGTATGCCCGTGCGTCAAGGCGTGGGGCCATTGCCTATGTCCTCGAATTAACGGCTGCGCAGGAGGGTATTCAACCTTTGGTAATCACGTTGGAGACTGGGAACACGTAAAGATCAAGTTCAATAATAACAAAATTTACTCCATATATTTGTCGATCCACGATTCTGAGATCACTAACAAATATGGTGGAGAGTTTTTGTGGAGTGGTAGCCAATTCAAGAAAGGGGATCGCACCGTTTATACCACTGATTGCACACACCCTCAGGTCTACGCATCCAAGGGATCCCATGGTATCTGGCCAAACACAGGGGACCACGTGTACAAGAAGCTTTTCAACGGAGACAAGTTGAAAGATCTCTGTAGCGCGGGAACAGCATGGAAGACTGCAGATAACCTCAAAGTTGTCAAGATGGCCGCCAAAGGACAGTTTACAGGGGAGTTTAGTTTCCTTAACTTCAAGGGACGTTGGGGAAATCGGGAACGTAACTGCCCTAAACTAATTGGTCAGTGTGTACTTGAAAATGGGCCAGGTGGACCACCTAAGTAAGATGTCAGGGTTTGAGTTACAAAACCTGATTCTGAACTATGCTTTGAAGTAAAGACGAGTAAAATGTCTCGAAAAAATTGAAAAAAAGTCCCACCATATACAATTAACCGTATATTATCTGGCGGTATCATATGCTTGAAATTGTTTGTAGTACAAGTTCTACAGTCAGTGTGCCCTGTAATGTACTCAGTGCGCAATTGTTGTTGTTTATTTTAGTTCTGAACATTTTTGCTCATATTCATGAAAAGCACGTTATGTTTGAAAATAAACAATAGATATATATACCACCATGAAAGGGAGTTATCGTTTACTTTTACTTATTTGATCAGGGTATACATACCAGAATTAAAAGTTTAATCAGCCTAATACATGTATATACATGTGCCCCTGGCTACAGTACAACACGAATAACACCATTTAGTAAATAGAAAATGAAGAAAAGAAAGACGAAAATGGATATGACAAACGCAAAAAAAGTAATACAAATCGAACTTTGAAAACTGCTCATGCCTGCCATAGGACAAATATGTAATCAACAAGCATACACACAAACTGCCTTCCAATAGAGCTCCTACTGTGATTTCAACGTCATAGGCAACAGTCGGGATGTAGCTTTGGTCATGTAGCTTTGGTCAGAACGGGAGCAATGTATGAATTTCGTTTGAACATACAGAAAAAATCCTCTAATGTTAAAGGTGTCTGTGACTTCCCATTCTCTAATACGAGCGCAAGCTCACACATGTATACATACACATTTGAGAAATCATATACTCATCCATAGAAAAAAATATTAATTAGCTTCCCGCATCTCACTCTTTCTAGTTCATGTCCCAAAAATTGAAAATATTCTACTCTTCTCTCCAAAAAAACTTAAATAAAATAATATGCAACAACCAAACAGAATAGCAGTTTTCACCCTAACTGTTTTCACCAAAGTGTAGTGTCAAATTCTCTAGGGTGGGTCCTAGCCCTATATTGTGTTATATTTACACTTGTATGTAATTAATGTTATATATTTTATTAAGTTTATTTATACATTATTTATTGTTTCTATTTTTTTCTTGATCATTAATATATTAAAATAATATAAATTAAATAGTGACTTATAAGCCCACTGGGGCTGGGTGCAAAAAGAAAAAAAATGTATCTGTATTACTTGCATTATAGCACAGGTCACTTTAATAAACAAACAAACATATATTGTTACAAAATAATATTTAAGTAGGGTATCAGCCGACCACACATTCAAAGTGTTGTCCAAGAGCTGAAAAATCACTTGCAAAGTGTATTATATGCAATATGCAGTGTGCTTTATAGATCTGACTTGCCAAGTCGTGTATTGGTGGTTTTGTGGTCTCTACAAATCATTTTGCATTTGCATTCTTAAAATAGAGTAAACATGCTTTGTTGGCAAATGAGACGCTGATATTGGCCCCTTATTCTCCAAGGTGACAGCTCTGACATCAAACTACCAGGCATATAATTATTTAGAAAGAATTTAACCGCATACAGTGTATTATAAATGACATAATAAGGGACATTCATGGTTCCAGGAGAGTGAAACTTTGAGACAAACTTCTTCATGTGGGACCCTTAAATACTCAAACATAGCGTGTAATTTGTGACCTAATCATTTTAAAGAGTAAGTTAGTGCACCTCATTTGCACCTCTATATTACATTCGGGTGTTAAAGTGAAATCACTTCTTTTAATTTTGGGTGCAAGACGTCATTTGCAAAGTGGGTGCATGGTCATTTATAATCTGTCCAATGAGCCAGGCCTAGTAAGTAGTTAAATAATAGTCAGTCAGTGGTAGTTGTAGACGTGGACCGAGATTGTGAAGTGAAGGGGGGGGGGGGGGGGGGGGCAGAGATCGGCTTTGCAAAAGAACTAAAGAACTGTAATTGGTCTTGTCGCCAGGAGAAAACGATTTAATGTGCTTAGACTTCGGCTATCAGTATCATTCCACTAAAATAAAGGAACTGTCCATTTTAGCTACTACTTTGCGATAGCTTGATTGCTTGATGGTGAACAGGTTCAATAGTATAATTTAAGTGTAATTCTTCTGATATATTCTGTGTTTGGGGCTTTTAGTTAAAACTGACCTCCGACTACAATTGTTTTGCAAAACTTTCCCCAGGGCCGTGCAGGGGTACTAGTGAGGTAGAAATCAGTCATATGTTTTGGTATGAATCGTGTCATATTGTTAAGAAAGACAGTCGAATGAAGGCACAAACAGTCTACACATACAGAGTGTTGTTCAAGAGTTAAAAAAAAACACTCAAGGTGTAATATAAATATGACTGTAAGCCCTTGTCCTGTCGTGTACTTGAGGTTTTGTGGTCTCTACCAACGTTTAAGGATATTTACAGTGTGATCTGCCGACTAAAAAGTCGACAACTCTCTCCATCTAAGAAATGGTTTAAATCATCTAAGAGTTCCATAACGAGTTGAAATAAAGTGGATAAAGATTGGATAAAGATGTCATTTGCAAAGTAGGCTTATGTTCATGTATAATCTGTCCAATGGACCAGGCCTATAGTTATAAAAGAGATGTGTTGAATTCGTGTTGAGACTTCGATGGGAGGGAAGAGGTAAGAAAGCAAAAATAAGGAGACTCAGAAAACTTTTAGACTCTCTCTCTCTCTCTCTCTATCTCTATCTCTCTCTCGCACGCTCAGTGACNTTATGTTCATGTATAATCTGTCCAATGGACCAGGCCTATAGTTATAAAAGAGATGTGTTGAATTCGTGTTGAGACTTCGATGGGAGGGAAGAGGTAAGAAAGCAAAAATAAGGAGACTCAGAAAACTTTTAGACTCTCTCTCTCTCTCTCTCTCTATCTCTCTCTCGCACGCGCAGTGACAAGCAACCTGGGTAGGGAACAACACCGATCTCTACACAAGACCTCTGTACGGTTGCCAAACATTATTTGATTAAACACAGTTCCAGAATTATCAGGTGTAATGACTGAACAGAGCTTCGGGATAAAATCAGATGCCAAGTGATTAAAATAAGGTGAAAACAGGGCAGACACATACTGCTTTTTGCACCTATTACGAGTCACAGACATTTGACAATATTCTCTTAAGATTGTCATCATGACTGTATTTTGAACTCTGTCATCTGTGATTATTTGTGTTTTTGAACTCTTACAATTTTAAATTAGTTTTTTATCTAGTTCCTGCTTGTTGCCCGGTAAAGTGTTAAACCTACTTATTATGCTGCACTCTTTATATTGTGCAATACACCAACAGCAGTCGTCACATAATTGGTTGATTTTTTTTTATAAAAGCACTACCATCAATTCCGCGCTCACTTTTCGAGTCACAACCAAGCGCTAACATTTGCAGGCACCAAGTGAGAGCACTGCAACATCTATCGAATTTATCGGACAGTGAAAAGGCCAATTATCTATCAAACCTGGTACAGCGCAGATGTAAGTATTAATATTTACTTGTTTTCAGTGTAGTTGCTATTCCGTAAAATAATAACTCCTTTGTAAGTGCATTTTTTAAAAATGTTTATTCCATTGTTTTCTTGCTCCACTGTAGATAACAAATGATGTCTTAGAATATGGTGAAAAATAATAAAATACTGTAGAATACTGTTAATACCGTAAAGTGCGTGATTTTCTTTCATTTTTTTTTTCTTTCTTTGTTTTGTTTTTGCATGGATGGGGGGAGGGGCTGTACCGTCACCGCACTGTCCACTCACGAATCAAAAACTCGACTGGCACCCACAGACAGGCCTTAATAGCGGTGTCACCTGGCCAACTGTTCGGCTTACCCACATGACCATCACGAAATCTGCTCAGTCAGTATCATTCAGGATTGCGAAATCTACCAATTATTGTGTCTTTTGCATGGCTGTTTTTTTTTTTTTTTTTTCTTGAAATTTTAACTGAAATGCACCTTGCAGTTACTAATTTTTTTATGTAAAAACCTTCCCCATTAACCTTTTCTGCCACCCCAAGCACGTTAACAGTTATTAAATGTTTTGGCACCGCTATCAAAACCTTTCTTAATACCCATTAATATCCATATCCATTAATATCCATTAATATCAATTGCATAACAATAATATATGAAATATGGAAACGGGCGTTTCTTTTCATAACTTGTGTAAACTGGTGGTTCTAGCCCATTCAGCAGGGCGTCATATGAAGTTTCCTTCTTACGGATATCAAAAGAAATGCTTTATGTTTTCCTATTGTTTTTTTTTTTTAAATTCTGTTTAAATATTGTACTTTCCTTAATTAAATCAGCCATCTGCATTTAGTTTTCTTATTTCATGCAGATCTTAAAAACATTCTGCCAAGAGATAAAATCAACTCCAACCGTGTGTTTAAAGATGGTCGTCACAGGGCTTTGGTGCCTTCCGTTGGTGATAGTCATATTGCATTCGTCACCAAGCAACGGATGGTATCGCAGCACAAAAATAAGACAGTGTGAGAATAGACGGAAGACCGGCCTCACTGGAAGGAGTCACGCCGATATCGTTACTGCCGCGAAATTGTGGGCGCCGGTGGTCCGGTTGGCCTTCGGAGAGGAATGGAAACCATCCAGCGTCGACTATTTCCTCCAACACGTAAACTTACGCGGCGGCAGTCCGACTTCCGTCACTCCGAGCACACTACCCACTTGTAACAGCAACTGCTACCTGGAAACTAAGACGCATTTATCTTGTCCCTCGTGCAGAGAACCTGCCGTCTTTAAGGGTCAGGATCCTGCCAGCGCCCCAGCATACGCTATATACGAGGACAAGGGTAGCGTTGTTGAAATCACCTATTGGTTTTTCTTTCCATATAACAGAGGAAAACGGGCGTGTGGGGGGTTATATCTTGATAATGTATGCCCGTGCGTCAAAGTGTGGGGCCACTGTCCTTGTCCTCGAATTAAAGGGTGTGCAGGAGGGTACTCGACCTTTGGAAATCACGTGGGAGACTGGGAACACGTGAAGATAAAGTTCAACAATACCAAAATCTACTCCATATATTTGTCAGTCCACGATTCTGAGATTACTAAACAATATGGTGGAGAGTTTCTGTGGATTGGTAACGAATTCCGGAAAGGGGATCGCACCATTTTCACAACTGACTGCACACACCCGCAAGTCTACGCAGCCAAGGGATCCCACGGTATTTGGCCAAACACAGGGGACCACGTGTACAAGAAGCTTTTCAACGGAGACAAGTTGAAAGATCTCTGTAGCGCCGGAACAGCATGGAAGACTGCTGATAACCTCAAGGTTATCAAGATGGCCGCCAAAGGACAGTTTACCGGGGAATTCAGCTTTCTTAACTTTTTGGGTCGTTGGGGAAATCGGGAACAGAACTGCCCTAAAATCATTGGTCATTGTGTACTTGAAAATGGACCAGGTGGACCACCCAAGTAAGACACCAGGGTTTGAGTTACGAAACCTGTTTATAAACTATGATTCAGAAATATAGTCAACTAATAGGTCTAGAGAAAGAATGAAAAAAATCCACAATGTACAATTATCCGTAAAGAATGTATCATATATGCTTATAATTGTTTGTAGCATAATTTCTACATTCAACCGTATGTGCTCAGCAATGTACTCAGTTTGCAATTGTTGTATTTTTCATTCTCAGAATTTTTGATCATATTAATAAAAAGCAGGTTATGGTTGGAAATAGACAATAAATATATATATACCATTGTGAAAGGGAGTTATTATTTCGTACTGTTATTACTTCCCAGACCACTGTACACTACCAGAAATGAAAAGAAAGAAAAATTCATCAGTCTAGAAGTTTGCAAATATGGAGAATAGAATAAGATGTTATGATATAAAATGTGCCCCGGGTACAGTGCAACATGAATTACAGTTTATTAAAGTATATAGTAAAAAAGAAAAACAAAATAAAAGACAAAGAGGAAGATGGATAAGATAAACACATTTAAGATTAGTACAAATTGAACAATGAAAACTCTAGTCATAGGACAAACATATAATAAAGCATACACAGACGCACTGCCTTTCAATAGAGCTCCTACCTTGATTTCAACGAGATTTGGCAACAGCCAGAACAGCTATGGTTGGATCGGGATAGGAATTACATTTGAAAAACCTACAGAAAAGACCTTTAAAGTTCAAGGTATCTGTGATTTTTCATTCTCTCACAAGCGCGCATGCGTACACATTTTAAGACATCTTCTACTAACCTACAGAGAGAAACTGCTTTTCACCCTTTGCCGTTTCTCACCTATTCCACGCCTTCAGAAGAATGAAAACATCTTACTTCCCTCCCCAAAATAAGTAAAATAAGTTAATATGTAACATTCAAATGAAATATAATTCTTCACCTTAACGGTTTTCGGGGCACTGTCTAACGACGCGTTATCTAGGGAGAGCCCTAGCCCTATCTCGTATTACACATTATTAAGAAAAAATAGTAAGGTATGAGCCGACCACGCATTCAAAATGTTGTCCAAGAGCTGAAAACAACATTCAAGACGTACTTTAGGCAAGCCTTTAACCCGTGGTTTTGTGGTCTCTATATATCTTTAAAAACCTGTTTTCTTAAAGTAAACATGTTTTGTCGTCAGATAAGACATTTATGGTGTGCCTTTATTCTCAATAGTGATAGCTCTGACAAAACATCCTACACAAATTATCATTATTATAAATGGCATAATAAGGGACAGTGGGCTCGAAAACAAAACGGTGTAGTTGGGGTCCTCATCAACCTACTTCGAACCAACCACCACTCTATTTAGTTCCTACAATGCAAATCAAATAAATAGAAAACGTTTATAATAGTAATAGTCCACTAAAATAAAGGAACTGTCTATTTTAGTTACTACTTTGTGATAGCTTTGTGGCGAACAGGTTCAATAGTATAATTTAAGTGTAATATTTCTGATATATTCAGTGTTTGGGTGTTTCATTTAAAACTGATCTTCGACTGAAGTTGGTTTGCAAAACGTTCCCCAGGGCCGTGCAGGGGTACTAGTGAGGTAGAAATCGATCAAATGTTTTGGTATGAATCCAGGCCCGAAGCCAGCAAATTTAAAAGGGGGGGTCTTTTTCTGAAAAAGTGGACCTTTTACAATGAAACTTATGGGTACGTAGATCAAATTTTACCCAAAATGGACCTTTTCCTGACATAAGGGGTGGTTCTTTCGAACCCCCCAAACCCCCGCCTGGCTACGGGCCTGGAATCGTGTCATATTGTTAAGAAAGACTGTTTAATGAAGGTATTAACAGTCTACACATACAGAGTGTTGTTCAAGAGCTGAAAAGAAATCACTCAAGGTGTAATTTAGATATGACTGTAAGCCCTTGTCCTGTCGTGTACTTGAGGTTTTGTGGTCTCTACCAACGTTTAAGGATATTTACAGTGTGATCCGCCGACTAGAAAGACGACAACTTTCTCCATCTAAGAAATGGTTTAAATCATCTAAGAGTTCCATAACGAGTTGAAATAAAGTGGATAAAGATTGGATAAAGATGTCATTTGCAAAGTAGGCTTATGGTCATTTATAATCTGTCCAATTTGAAGTCACACGGAATGTAGTTTTTTTGTAGTCGCCAGGTGGCGACTATAAGTCTATCGGCTTTTTCTCTTGCACAGTTTGATTGTAACTAAGATCTAATAATCCGTTTATTAGATCTTAGATTGTAATAAGTAATTTGCTATATTTTATACTGTTATAAGTAATTACATATTAGGTTTCATGGAATGTGCATTGTGTAAAAGCAAGGCATTTCTATTTTCAAGGTTTTCTAATAAATAATTAAACTTAAATGATGTGTGACTTAGGTTTTTTCAAAAGGACTAGACCTAGTTACAAAACAGATGTGTTAAATTCGTGTGGAGACTTCGATGGGAGGGAAGAGGTAAGAAAGAAAAAATAAGGAGACTCAGGAAACATTAAGACTCTCTCTCTCTCTCTCTCTCGCAAGCGCAGTGACAAGCAACCTGGATAGGTAACAACACCGTTCTCTACACAATATACCTCTGTACTTGATTGAGTTGGCAAACATTATTTGATTAACCACAGTTCCAGAATTATCAGGTGTAATGACTGAACAGGGTTTCGGGATAAAATCAGATGCCAAGTGATTAAAATAAGGTTAAAACATTTAAGACACACTACCGCAATCTATGACAATCTAGTGGGATTTACTACGTACAGTGTACTATAAAAGAGACCTTGAGGCAGCGAGACGGTGCTGCTACTGAGTACATGCGTGCAGAGGTTTAACACCTATTTTATTCTCGCCATATTTTCCTTTGTGTATGTCAAAAGTTTTCAGTTTTGTATAACAAGTCTTATTCACAACAAAAATAAATTTTATAACATAAACATTATTTATCTATAATGAATGTGAAATGTAACTAAATTAATAATATTACGATTTCAAATCATATGAAAAGGTACAAAATCAATTTAATATGATAGATTTGAAATAAAATTAAACAGTATCTTAGATTTTGTCATGTTGAATCACTATAGAACAAAAATCTACACTGACTCGCGACGAGTCAAAGCCATTTGGAATACAGAATAAAGGCCTTGCCACGCCCATGAAGTTATCCCGTGATTTCAACATTTGGCCACTTTTTACTATTAAGCATTTAAATTTATATAGACTGTTCCACTTTATGTCAAAACTATTTGAAATATGCCTGGAATGTAATGGTTTGTCCTGGGTAGGCCATTGGGAGTTCACATACTGCTTACACGTAAGTTCAACTCTCTCTTTTTGCACCTGTTACGAGTCACAGTCATTTTGACAATATTCTCTTAAGATTGTCATCATGACTGTATTTTGAACTATGTCATCTGTTATTATTTGTGGTTTTTGCACTCTTACAATTTCAAATTAGTTTTTTTATCTAGTCCTTGCTTGTTACCTGGTATAGTATTTAACCTACTTATTATGCTGCACTGTTTATATTGTACAATACACCAACAGCAGTCGTCACCTAATTGATTGATGTTTTTCTTTATAAAAGCACTACCATCAATTCCGCGCTCACTTTTCGAGTCACAACCAAGCGCTAACATTTGCAGGTACCAAGTGAGAGCACTGCAACATCTATCGAATTTATCAGACAGTGAAAAGGCCAATTATCTATCAAACCTGGTACAGTATTGATATTTACTTGTTTTGAGTGTAGTTACCATTCCGTAAAATAATAACACCTTTGTAAGTGTATTTTTATAAATGTTTATTCCATTGTTTTCTTGCTACACTGTAGATAACAAATGAGGTCTTAGAATATGGTGAAAAATAATAGAATACTGTAGAATACTGTTAATACCGTAAAGTGCGTGATTTTCTTTCATTTTTTTTCTTCTTTCTATCTTTGTTTTGTTTTTGCATGGATGGGGGGGCTGTACCGTCACCGCACTGTCCACTCACGACTCAAAAACTCGACTGGCACCCACAGACAGGCCCTAACAGCGGTGTCACCTGGCCAACTGTTCGGCTTACCCACATGACCATCACGAAATCTGCTCAGTCAGTATCATTCAGGATTGCGAAATCTACCAATTTTTGTGTATTTTGCATGGTTTTTTTTAAACCGGAAATGCCACTTGAAAGTAACAATTTTGTATGTAAAAACCTTCCCCACTAACCTTTTCTGCCACCCCAAGCACGTTAATATAAAATGAAGTTTTGGCACCGCTATCAAAACCATTCTTAATACCCATTTTTTAAAGTCAATCATCGTGGTTCATGTGTATGGAGACATTTAATATCTTGACCAAAATTGTTGATCGGAAATATTGGCATACTTTATCTTAAGTGACCTCTAGGTACCGTTCATAATGAACTAAGTCTGCGAGGACTCGCGCTGAATGCAATCAGATTTACAGATTAACACGCCTGGCGTTGAGTAGAATTTAAAAAGGCTGGTGACTATACGAGTATGTTGGAAACAAGAGGCGTGTTCGTCTGTTAATTTGATTAAATTCAGCGATAGCCCTCGTGGTGTTAGTGTGCATTAGCTAGGTGGACAAAATTCTTTGTAGTCGATCCATTAACATCAACTGCATAGCAATAATATATGAAATACGGAAACGGGCATCATATGAAGTTTCCTCTTACAGATATTGAAAGAAACGCTTTATGTTTTCTTATTGAATTTTTAAAAATTGTGTTTAAATATTGTTCTTTCTGTAATTATATCAGACATCTGCATTTAGTTTTCTTATTTCTTGTAGATCTTAAAGACATTCTGCCAAGAGATAAAATCTACTTCAACCGTATGTTTCGATATGGCCTTCAAAGGGCGTTGGTGCCTAATGTTCCGGTTGGCCGTGGGAGAGGAATGGAAACCATCCAGCGTCGATTATTTCCTCCAACACGTAAACTTACGCGGCGGCAGCCCGTCTTCCGTCACCCCTAGCACACTGCCCACTTGTAACTAGCACTGCTACTAGTCCTGGAATTTTCGTACGGAAACCCTGCCGTCATTAAGGGTCAGGATCCTGCCAGCGCCCCAGCATACGCTATATACGAGGAAAAGGGTAGCGTTGTTGAAATCACCTATTGGTTTTTCTTTCCATACAACAGAGGAAAACGGGCGTGTGTGGGGTTCTATTTTGATAACGTATGCCCGTGCGCCGAAGCGTGCGGCCACTGCCTATGTCCTCGACTAAATGGATGTGCAGAAGGGATGCGTAGGATCCTGCCAGCGACCTTTAGAAATCACGTTGGAGACTGGGAACACGTAAAAACAGTTCATTAATAACAAAATCTACTCCATTTTTTGTCGATCCACGATTCTGAGATCACTTATCGATATGGTGGAGAGTTTCTCTGGAATGGTAATGAATTCAAGAAAGGGGAACGTGTCGTTCAGATGACTGATTGCACACACCCTCAGGACTACGCAGCCAATGGGTCCCATGGAATGTGGCCAAACACGGGGGACCACGTGTACAAGAAACTCTCTAACGGAGACAAGTTGAAAGATCTCTGTAGCGCTGGAACAGCATGGAAGACCGCAGATAACCTCAAAGTTGTCAAGATGGCCGCCAAAGGACAGTTTACTGGGGAATTCAGCTTTCTTAACTTCTTGGGTCGTTGGGGAAATCGGGAACGTAACTGTGTTCCACTTATTGATCAGTGTGTACTTTCAAATGGTCCAGGAGGTCCACCTAAGTGGCCAGTCACAAATCAGTTGCGATGCGTCGGGGATGGGTAAAACCCGGGAAATTTGAACAAAATCTTGAGACAGATCTCACGATTTTGCACCCGTCGGAGGCGCTCTCCGGACCCCTGCGGGTTGTCGCAGATTTTTTTAGACATCGCCACACCCGTCGCGGTCCCCAACTTTGAACTTAAAATTTTAAGATTGCTCGCAAGATTTTTCACCCATTTTGGGCATCCCAGACACAATCTCCGATGACCTACGATGCCCTCCGATTAATCGGAGGCGTCCTCCGAATAATCTGAGACTAGTCGCAAAATTCTGTGTGGGATTGACACATATACCCAGGGGGAAAAAATTACAAGAAAAGACGCTCGCAGATATCGTCTCCGATCGGAGGCTAATCCCACGATTTTTCGACAAAACCGGGTCAAAATCCTTGAAAAAATCTTAGACAATGTGACTGCTCCACTTTTATTAGGATTATTGGATTGTTCAAGGATTCTTTATTTTCTACGACGACCCCCGGCCAAAACTAATCCCCGACAGATCGCCGACATTGTGACTGGGCCATAAGTGAAAATATTGGATGTGACTTTTTTCCACACTTTTATCTTAACTTGCATAACGCATTTAATATGGTGAATGATGAAAACTTTCCATTATCTTCTACAAAACATTTATATATTTTTTTACATACCGGTTAACATTATCAAAGGTAATTAACGACACTGATAATATTTCGGTTTATTGATTAATTTAAATAGATAACTAAATACTGCACGGTATATCACTTACTAAAATCATATATTAATTATTTAGATAAAAAAATTTCAAGATAATGAAAATATGAAAGGAAAATTGTATACATCATGTCCAATTTTCAGGTTTTTGAGATATCAAAGAATAAAACCCCATCAATTAAAGTTATTTGTAGTTGCAATCTGAAATTTTACTCAATTTGGCGTCTAAGACCCCTTCCCCATACTTAGACCGATCTAGCAGGATCGACTCATGTCTGAGAGGTTTCTCACTAAATTACATTCAGCGTAAGTGGCCCTCATGTCTGGCACGCCTACTGAAGCAGTTAGGGAGTACTTAACTATCGTTAAGCAGCTTTAGTAGAAGTGCCAGGCATCTAAGCCATTTTATCTGAATGCAATTTAGCGAGAATCCCCTTGGAGATGGATCGTTTCTGCTAGATCGATCTAGGTATTTGATTTGGGTCTAACTTGTATGCTTATAGTGCTGTTTTTTCGGTTTTAACATTTTAAAGAAATGTTTATAGTTGCGTCACAGCCACTTTCACCATCTTTACAAAATTTGTATTTGACTCGCGTTTTTCCATGCCTCCTGCATACATGCACGTAGTTCATTAAAGTATGGGGACGGGGGCCTGACCATTCAATAGAACTTAGCAATGGAATTAGTTTCACTAAGTCCTACCTGCTTCCTACATACGCTCTGACTGACGTGGTTGAAAAAAGGGATGAGGCTATCTCCTTAGCATTATTCCCAGATTTCTTCGCATTTTTACTGATAGATTATTTAAGGCATGCACTTCCTTCCGGATTGGGCCGTTTAAACCACTGACTGCACACGCGCCCAAGTCTACGCAGCCAAGGGATCCCACGGTATCTGGCCAAACACAGGGGAACAAGTCTACAAAAAAATCTTTAACGGAGACAAGCTGAAAGATCAGAAGAATGGAAGACTGGAGACAATATCAAAGTTGTCAGAATTGCCGCCAAAGGATAGTTTACTGGGAATTCGGCATTCTTAACTTCTTGGGACGTTGGGGAAATTGGAAACAAAACTACAAAACAGGGCCAAAAATTAAACATCTTACCCTCCCCCCCCCCCCCCCCAAAAAAAAAAAAAAATATATATATATATATATATATATATATATATATATATATATATATATATATATAACTCATTATTTTGTGGTTTCTACATGTCTTTAAAAACTCTTCTTGATGTAAACACGTTTTGTTGTCAGATAAGACATTTATGGTGTGGCATTATTCTCAAAAGTGACAGCTCTGACAAACAAACTACCCGATGTATCATTATTTAGGAAGTCTTAATAATAGGCATATATCATTAATGACATAATAAGGGACAGTGGACTCGAAAACAAAACAGTGTAGTTGGGGTCCTCATCAACTTAAATTTGAACCAACCATCACTCTATTTAGTTCCTCTGTTGCAAATACTATAAATAAAAATGTTTTAGGGCTGTTTTTGCTGAAAGGCAAAAACTGTCTCCATCTTTGAAATAGTTTAAATGATTTAAATTTGCCAAAACAGATCCTTAGTTCAAATAAAGCGGAAAAGACGTCATTTGCAAGATATGCCTATGGTCATATAAAATCTGTCTAATGAGCCTGGCCTAGTACATTTGAGTGAAAATGAGTCAGTATAGTCGTAGATAATGTCTGAGACCCCATTCCCACAGATTTTAGATCGATCTATCCCTGTGGGGAGTCTCACTAGATTACTCTCTGCTTAGCCGGCTTGAATGTCTGTCCCGCATCCTGAAAGCTGTAAAGAGGTAATTAACTACTGTGCCCACTCGGCTTACAGCTATTTAGCGTGAACCCCCAGGGAGTTAGGTCGATCTAGTTGGATCGATCTAAATCTCTGGGAATGCGCCCTGAGATTACAGTGGGAAGGAGACAGGGGTGGGCTATGCAAAAGAGGTATATTTTTGTCTTAAAACAAGAACGGAGCGATTTACTCTGCTTAGACGTAGACCAAATCAGTATTTGTCTATTAGATTAGGAAATTGTCCTTGTACTAGTTTGTGGTAGCTTTATGATAAACAGGCCCAATATTCTCTTTTAAATGTAATACTTCTGATTCCATCGGATCATACTACGCCATAAATCATCCCATGACATCATGGCTATTATAACGTAAAATTACTACCCGGGTGCCAATCCCCAACACGAATAGACACCCACTGGTAAGTCAAACCACTGGAAAAAATTACTATCATTACCATGTCTTACAATTTAACAATGCACTAAACATAATGTGTGTCCAAAGCATGCCCCGGTGGTAGTCTATTTTTAGCACATTTCGTGATCTATGATCTATTTTTCCCTAGGGTAATTTGGACACAAATAAATAAGTATATAATTTTAGACTTTCTTTATGAAGTAGAAACACGTCATATCCTATAGCCCACTTCACTACACGCACCTTGTTATTAGTTAAGAGCACTATAAAGCAGCCAACAACGACATACCTCAACTCACACTTGTGGTAAAGACAGGTGGACTGCTGCCCTTTCTAAGGGATAGAACACTCTTACTTTTAGTCGAGAAGTTACACTTACACATACCAGAACCAGTGCATGTGTTATCCTCTCTACACTCTCGGTAAGTTATACTCGTACACGACGATTTTAAATACTGTATCATTAAGTAACGGTACATGTAAATTTTAGCGTCACACGATAAACTTAGTATTGTTGATGATGCGTTGAATTTTAGGTAAAACAAAATACATATATACTAGAGTTACATTGTATATTGTAATGTTGATAACATGTTAAATTGCATCTGCATATTGATAAGAACATGGTATTTGGTTTAAATCCCTGTTTTCATCAGTGAGCTTACTTTTCTGACAGTAAAGGGTCCAATATTTTGTAAATAAATTCTAGGACACCCACACATATCCTGTGAGTGTTATATAGCAAAAATTTATCGTCACATCATGGTTATTATTAACAAAAATAAATTTTTGTGAGCCACCCCAACTATCCAACACGAAAAGACAGTGCAATCAACGAAAAATAACCACCATCACCTTGTCCTACAATTTTCCCGTTGGCAGTGAATTTTTAACAAATTTCTTTGACGATTATGTACAGAGCTTTTAAAGGGACATGCAAAAGAAAAAATATTTTCATCGTTTGAACGCAATGATTATTAGGGTTAAAATAACTACTGTTTTTTATTTCTTTTTGTCACACACACACACACACAGATATAAATAGCAGTCCACTACAATTAAACCTCAACTCACACTTGCGGTAAAGACCGATGGACTGCTGCAATACCTTCGGTAGTCGCGGATAAAAAAACTTACCTTTAAAGTCAGGACGTATTCGGTATGGGTGACATTGATAAACTAAATATATACATATATATATATAATAGGGTAATAGAGTTTATTGTAATGTTGATAACATGTTAAACTGTATCTGAATTTTGATAAGAACTTGACATCCTTTCTGGCAGTAATTGGTCAAATATTTGCTAAAGTAAAATTTTAAAAATCCAGCTGTACGCGGCTGCCTGACAACTCTACTGATGCTGTTTCTGCAAAGTGTTTACCTCTTTAAGAGCAGTTCCAGCAGACCTTGGGCAACTACATAAAATCTGAATGTCGGGCTTAAAAAGAAGCCAGAGAAACAAAGGAATATTGATTTTTCCTACAAAGCTTCAAAGAATTTTGACACGGACTTGATCTAGGTTAACCTTCAAAGTAACAGGGTGGCATGGGCAATTTTTTACAATTACAAACAAATAATTCAACTTATATATATCAGAACTTTATTCTGTAAGCTGGGTGATACCATACACTGTATATAAGTTCAACTTAGATAAGCTGACCAAGGATATCACAAGGTGGATAGCAAGAAGGCGTATTAATAGTGCAACGATCAACTGTTTTTCAGATTATTTTCTGAGAACTCAGGATAACTGAGGCAAACCACATCGAACAGCAGTACCGCACTGTTATTCAGAATTTAGCTCGATACAAGCAGGCACAATCTGCATAGGTGCCCAAAGTTGGCGCCAGTAAGCCCCTATTTAAATAAATATACCTTTATGAGCAAGGCTTTTTCCAGCGAACCGTCCAGCCGTCATTTGGACGGCCGCTGACATCACCGGACGGCCTATATTTTCAAAGACGGCTAGACGGCTTACGACTTTTAATGACATCTTGGCTTGTCGGGGCGGCCGTGGACGTTGTACTAAATTTTCTTAGAGTAATTTGACGTACCCAGCTTTTAGGCGTCACAGTTGAATGGTACTACTTTAATTTGTAGCGCACGCTGTTATTCAGTCACGAAGAAACTACTTTCTAAACCTTGCAAAACACAATAAAATGTTTCCATTAACTTTAAAATACACGTTCCATGCCGTATGCTGCAGTGACAAGAGTGGCCTTCATGCGGTACAAAAGACGTGTAGGCCCTAAACGAACTCTTAGCTAACTACTGTAACCGCCAAGTTATGAAAGGGAACGCCTTCCGGAACTTCATACGTACGGCACCTGACAAAGCTGATGGACAAAAAGGAAAATTTTTTAATTTTCAGCGAGAGATCAATCGCAATCCGAGAGAGACGAGGAGGCAATTTTCATATTTGTTGAAGGACTTCGTTTGCCAAAGAGCGAGACGTGAACGCAGTTTTTGTATCGTCAGCCGGACATCGTTCGCAATCTCGTATTCGTTCAATTTGGGCTTTCGTTTTGCGGAAGATCGTCAGCCGGCGATCGTTCTCGGTCTAAGCGAGACGAGAAGGCAATTTTCATATTCATTCAAGGGAGTTCGTTCGCGAAAGAGCGTCAGCGGAAGATCGTATCGATTGTTTTTAACCCTCCATCCCCATTGAGTTAATTTCTATTTTTTAAATATTTTTTTCATTTCATTTTAACCCCCCCCCCCTCCATTTTGGATAGCCTGTACCCCAATCCTGGAAAAAAGCTTTGGTTCTGAGTGAAATAATGAAACTGAACTTAATTAAATCGCTGGAATGTATTTAACTTTAACTGCTGATTTTATTACTGGTGAAAAGTGAACTATGATAATTGGCACATTTTATTTTATCTGCCCTTTATCTGTTTGCGTAAGGGTACATGGGAATTCTGAAAATGTGTACATACAATTTTAAAAGGTCTGATACACATACGTATATGTTTACCTCTTGTACACGTATACTCATGTCCTATATTTTCTTGCTCTTGTAGAACACAAAGACGAAAGTTTATCTGCCAAGACAGATTTCCTAATTCTGCTCCAAATTATTGTTTCAAGATGGCGGTTACAGCTCGTTTGTACGTTCTGCTGGTGGCTGTCATGTTTTATCCGTCGCAAAACAATGGTGGATTGCTGGGAATTTCTCAATCAATAAAAGATATCATAGAAGCGGCGAAAAAATGTACGGCTCAGCGAACAGCTGACCTCAGTGGACGAAGTCACGCCGATATCGTTGCCGCCGCGAAATTGTGGGCGCCGGTGGTCCGGTTGGCCGTGGGAGAAGAATGGAAACCATCCAGCGTCGATTATTTCCTCCAACACGTCAACTTACGCGGCGGCAGTCCGACTTCTGTCACTCCGAGCACACTGCCCACCTGTAACAGCAACTGTTACCTGGAAACTAAGACGCCGTTATCTTGTGCCTCGTGCCGAGAACCTGCCGTCTTCAAGGGTCAGGATCCTGCCAGCGCCCCAGCATACGCTATATACGAGGACAAGGGTAGCGTTGTTGAAATCACCTATTGGTTTTTCTTTCCATACAACAGAGGAAAGCGGGCGTGTGTGGGGTTATATTTTGATAACGTATGCCCGTGCTTCAAGGCGTGGGGCCATTGCACATGTCCTCGACTTAACGGATGCGTAGGAGGGTACTCGACCTTTGGTAATCACGTTGGAGACTGGGAACGCGTGAAGATAACGTTTAATAATAACAAAATTTACTCCATATATTTGTCGATCCACGGTTCGGACATCACCAAGAAATTTGGTGGAGAATTTCTGTGGAATGGCAACGAATTCAAGAAAGGGGACCGCGTCGTTCAGATGACTGACTGCACACACGCCCAAGTCTACGCAGCCAAGGGTTCCCACGGAATGTGGCCAAACACAGGGGACCACGTGTACAAGAAACTCATCAACGGAGACGAATTGAAAGATCTCTGTAGCGCCGGAACAGCATGGAAGACCGCAGATAACCTCAAAGTTGTCAAGATGGCCGCCAAAGGACAGTTTACTGGGGAATTCAGCTTTCTTAACTTCTTGGGTCGTTGGGGAAATCGGGAACGTAATTGTGTTCCACTTATTGATCAGTGTGTACTTTCAAATGGTCCTAGAGGTCCACCTAAGTGAAAATATTTCGAAGTTGTTTCCACACTTTTATCATAACTCGCATTACGCATTTAATATGGTGAATAATGAAAACTTTCCATTATCTTCTACTTAACATTCATATATTTTGATTATTTTTGGCATACCGGTTAACATTATCAAAAGTAATCAGTGGCACTATTAATATTTCGATTTATTGATTAATTTAAATAGATAACTAAATACTGCACGATTTTTCACATTCAAAAGTCATATATTTAATTACTTACATAAAAAAAATCAAGATACGCTTATCTTTGAAAATATGAAAGGAAAATTGTATACACCATGTCCAATTTTCAGGTTTTTGAGATATCAAAGAATAAAACCCAATTAATTAAAGTTATTTGTAGTTGTAATCTAATTTTTAACTTAAAATGCTATGCTTTTAAGACCCCATCCCCATACCTAGACCGATCTAGCAGGATCGACCCATCTCCGAGGGGTTTCCCACTAAATTACCTTTAGGCTAAATTGGCCTGATGTCTGGAACGCCTACTGGGGGTAATTAACTATCGTTGATTTTAATTTGAAAGATGAGAGCGTAAATTAACTAACCGCAACTACAGTCTGGATGATTTATATTTTATACATATCACAATATCTCTCATCTCCCCCTGGAACACAACAATCGGTTGGCCTACACTCAAGCACTCGGCTGTATCTGTTTAGTGCTGTGTGCTGCCCTTCTGTTTTTAAAGGGCCCATTCACATTCATAATGACAGGTTTATGAACCCATCAGCACTTCTGGGGGCGTCTATCTTTTGAAAGACCAAGATATTCTCGAAATATTTTGTTGCATATCAATAGAAAAGATTATTTTTACAGCTTGATATTTCAAGTCATAGCATTCATGCTATAGTAACGTAAAAGATACTTGTATAACACGAATAATGAATATACGGTTTGTTAAAGAAATAAATGTACAATTAATATTGAGCAACATTAAAACCTCTCTACCTACATGTAGTAAAGCCCCCTACCTACAGTGGCAAAACATACATTCTTGCTACTGTGTACCCGCCACTACCGTAAACCTGCGACATCAATCAAATCACACATTGTCAGCTTTATGTTCTAGTTTAAAGGCAGGCAATGAAGTGCTTGTTGATACACGTTTTTATCTTACAGTGTCTTAGACCCGCCATGATTCAACGTCCAAATATTGGCAGTTTTTAATTGTGCTGAAATCTGAAAAATCTCATAACTAAATGGGTAAAACAAAGAACTAGCTAGGCTTTCCTTCACAGGGAGCTCTTTAAATAGAGTACATTATTAATAGAAGTCAAACTCACGGGTACATACGAAAACATCTGAAAATAACAGCTTCAATAAAATACGCGCTATCATACGAGTGAGTAATGTTACTCCTCCCCCCCCCCCCCCACACTCCCAATAGCAAATATACGTGTAACTCTCGACATTATTGTCTAGAATGAAACATCACATCGATGTAAACACGTTTTATTGTCAGATAAGACATTTATGGTGTGGCATTATTCTCAAAAGTGACGGCTCTGACAAACACACTTATCATTATTTAGGAAGACTTTATAATAGGCATATATTATAATTGACATAATAGGGGACAGTGGAATCGAAAACAAAACAGTGCAGTTCGGGTCCTCATCAACCTAGTTCGAACCAACCACTACTCTATTTAGTTCCTACATTGCAAATACAAATCGGTTTAACGTCGATTTTGCTGAGAGTAAGGCAACAACTATCTCCGTCTTAAAAACGACTTAAGTGTTCTAAATATGCCATAACGGATCCCCAGTTCAAATAAAATGGATGAAGACGTCATTTGCAAAGTAATTTTATGGACATTTATAATCTGTGCAATGAACCAGGCCTATCTATACTTAGGTCAGACAGCGCTAGTCGTAGATGTGGACCGAGATTGCAAAGGGAAGGGGGACAGGGATCGGCTTCGCAAAATAATTATATCTTTGTCTCAAAACAAGAATGGAACGATTTATTCTGCTTATAGACGTAGACCAAATCAGTACTGGTCTATTAGATAAGGAAATTGTCCTTTGTGATTACTAGTTTGTGGTAGCTTTATGAAAAACAGGCCCAATATTCTCTTTTAAATGTAATACTTCTGATTCCATCGGATCAGACTACGCCATAAATCTTCCCATGACGTCATGGTTTTTATAAACTTAAAATGTCTGTGACCTAGACGCCAATCCCCAACACGAATAGACACCCCCTGGTAAGTCAAACTACTGGAAAAATTACTATCATTACCATGTCTTACAATTTAACAATATTCTAAATATAATGTGTGCCCAAAGCATGCCCCGGTGGTAGTATATTTTTAGCACATTTCGTGTTCTATGATCTACTTTTCCCTAGGGTAATTTGGACACAAGTAAACAAGTATATAAGTTTATGCTTTCTTTTATAAAATTGTAAGTAGAAACACGTCATATCCTATAGCCCACTTCACTACACGCACCTTATTATTAGTTAGGAGCACTATAAAGCAGCCCACAACGATATACCTCAACTCACACTTGTGGTAAAGACTGGAGGACTGCTGCCCTTCCTGAGGGATAGAAAAATCTTACTTTTAGTCGAGAAGTTACACTTACATTGTAGTAGGACACCAGAACCAGTGCAAGTGTTATCCTCGCTACACTCTCGGTAAGTTGTACTCGTACAAGACGATTTTAAATACTGTATCATTAAGTACATGTAAATATTAGATTTACCCGATAAACTTGGTGTTGTGGATCCAACTACATAGCTAAAAAGTATCAGCTTTGAAAGGGACATGCAAAAGAATAAAATTCAACTTTCGTACGCCATCTTTGCCAGAGAACACCTCAATTTTAGGTAAAACTAAATACATATATACTGGAGTAACATTGTATATTGTAATGTTGATAACATGTTAAATTGTAGCTGCATATTGATAAGAACATAGCATGTGGTTTAAATTCCTGTTTTCATAATGGGTGACGTCAGTGAGCTTACTTTTCTCCAATATTTTGTAAATGTAAATTCTAGGACACCCACACATATCCTGTGAGTGTTATCTAGCAAAAATTATCGTCAAATCATGGTTGTTATAAACGAAAAATAATTTTTGTGAACCTTTCCCACTACCCAAAACGAAAAATAACCACCATCACCTTGTCCTACAATTTTCCCGTTGGCAGTGAATTTTAAACAAATTTCTTTAACGATTATGTACTGAGCTTTTAAAGGGACATGCAAAAGAAAAAATATTTACATCGTTTGAACACAATAAATATTACGTTCGAACGCAATAATTATTACGTTCGAACGCAATCTTTGCGAGGGAACGCAATCAATTTAACGTTCGAGCGTAATCTTAATCTTTCACTCCAAGACGGCGACAGCCTTGTTTTCATGTTACGTTTGCGTTCGAACGTAAAAATCATTGTGTTCTCTGGCAAAGATTGCGTTCGAAAGTTGAATTTTATTCTTTTGCATGTCCCTTTTAAAGCTAATACGTTTATTAGCTATGTAGTTGGATCAAATTAATAATCAGCTATGTAGTTGATAATTATTTAACACTATCTGAGTATTTTCTGAACGTGCAATAAACACTGGCCACAGTATTGACTGGGATTCAACCAAGATCAAGAAACATCAGCTGTCACCAGCCACCCATGAAATGGGACGGGAAGGGGGGCGGGCGATGTTCAGGACATTTTACAATAAGGTTCTAGCCGTTAAACCACTTAGCGGTAAGTGAGTACAACTACTTACATGAGACTGATAAAGCACTACAACCAAGTTGGCTGCTAGTTAACGGTAGGGTAAAATCATTTTGTGTTTAGTAATAATCATATATCTCCTTTAACGATTGTCTACTTTTGTTCAGGGTGATTTGGACACAAATAATCAGTTACATGTATATAGTTTTCGGCAAAGTCAAAAGACACATCATATTTTGTATCCTACTTCCCTAAGAGCACTAAATAGCAGTCCACTACAATATACCGTATATCACACTTGCGGTAAAGACGGTGGTCTTCGGGAGTCACGGATTAAAAAAAAACCTGCTTTTAAAGTCGGGACGTTGCACTTACATTATTATAGGACATCTGTGCATGTGGACATGTGGTAGGAGTACACGTATGTAGCCATGTATATGCGTATGTATATATGTTCAAATTAAATCTTACCGCACTTGTCGGTAAGTCTTGGCTCTCAGCAGTTCGTTTTCTTTATTTCTTGTCACAATTTTTGATAAACCATAACTAACCAAAGTTATTTTTTCTTCACATTGTATAACATCCTTATTTTACTATACTTGAACATAGAGACGAAAGCTTAGAATATCAACATTGTAAGGCTCATATGATATGTATTAGGTCTCTTTATTTCCTAATCTACAAGATGTAAGCTGGATGAAATTAAATGATATCACATGGTATAACTATAAATAAGTATTTATGAAATTTCTGACACTGTTGTAAAACTATATAAAAAGAAAGCAATGTTGGCGTTAAAGGTGCAATTTTGGCATTATTTTCAGACTCAAAAGTTTCAATAACAAATGTGAAGGTGTTCAAACCCATTAATTGGAATACTTACTGCCTCCAACGTGTTTCTCTCATTTACAAACGGCCTCAAACAATCAAAGATTAAAAATTTTTAGCATACCGTAATAATATTTTGATTCGGAATATATATACGATCTTATTGCTATATATATTCAAGGCAACAGCAAAATTAACATATTTTAAACGTTTTAATTTCGAAATTAAAATGGAATAATGTAGCTTATGAATTTCTCAGTTACTGAAATGCTCATTTTGTGTTCATTTATGCCGTCATCCCATTATGACTGCAGCTGCAAATTCCTCATTTCTCCAATTATACCATCCACGTATTGTTGGGCAGTGATGCAACGAAGCGTTACTCGGGCGTAGTTAAGACGATCGTTTTTTGTCTAGGTGCAACGAGCGTAAGCAGGGAGAGTAAACCTGGCACACGGACGACAGTCGTATGCGAGTAAATTTACGCCCTGCTGGCCCTGGGCCGGGTGCACAAACCGGTCGTAGTTAGACGAAGCAGTTGCGCTGGCGTAAATCCAGCGCAAAGTGCTACGTCCTAGAAAAATTGCAATAGTTTTTTCATCGGTCTTATCTAAGTCGTAAATTTACGCCTGCCAGATATAGGTGGTGTATGTCGGTCGTAGCTCGTTTTCCATCATACGTAGGCTGGCACAGAGAGTTTGATGAAAATGTGGGTTGCCATTTGCTTATATATATTGCAATAAAGTGATTACTAAACATGTTATTCACGTGGTCTTCTTCTCGTAAATTTTATGTTTGTTGAAATAAGATAAGGAAAATGTGAGCTGATGTCGGCAATGTTAACAAATGCTTATGTAAAATCCATTTATATGATGGGAGTATGTAGCCATGTATATGCGTATGTATATATGTTCAATTTATAAATATTACACACGTGTCGGTAGATCTTGGCTCTCAGCATTTCGATTTCTTTATTTCTTTTTAGTGTTTGACTAACCATAGGTAACCATAGTCATTTTTTCTTCACATTTTATGTTATTCATATTTACTATAATGAACATAGAGAAGAAAGCTTAGAATATCAACATCGTAAGGCTCGTATAATATGTATTAGGTCCCTTATATTTCTTAATCTACAAGAGGTAAGCTGGATGAAATTAAATGATATCACATGGTGTAACTATTAATAAGTAGGTCATGAAATTGTTGGCACTGTTGTGAAGGTGTTCGAATCCATTAATTGGAATACGCACTATTGATATATATATATATATATATATATATATACAGACTTGACATTTAATATGGAATATTTTTTCCAAATCATAATTCATAAGTTTTTTTTCCTATTTTGCAGACTGATAAATGAAAATAAGGATTAAAACCGTGTTTTTATAACTTTTGATAATCTGTTAGATGTCATTTTGACATCAGTTCATTAATTGAATTCGCCAGTGAAGCAAAGAAAAATGCATTGCCTATTTCAAGTCATACGACAACCATTGAAAGCGATGTTTTGGATCTCCATATTTTCCAAATTATCATATTTAAAAGAGTTACACGCCCCACAAAGGCCCCTCATGTCAGTGTCTAGTCACAGCAACAGTCGCTGTTATGTCTGACCTCATCTTCCTGGTACCACAGCTTTCAAGCGGCAAGGCATTCCTCAGGATAGGTTTTTAGAATTTAATCTGGAATAAAATTCCAGTCAACGGTTAAAACTTGTCCAATTTGGTACAGTTTTGTTGTAGGACAAGCAGGCCGTTGATTCTGCGACTAATGACCTACCCACATATTGTCTACGTGGTTCAAATATGGCGATTTTGATGACCAAGGTAGCTGCTCATTCCCTTGGTTCTTTAAGTTATCTGCTATTAAAAGTGCTCTGTGTGAACCAGCAATCTCATCGTGCAACCTAAAACTGTTCCTAAGGTGCCCCCTATCAAATGATAGTCAAGTGGTTCCCAGATTATTCCTTTGTTTGATCTGGTTCAAGTTTTCAGCGATGACTTCCATTGGTGTTTTGGCACCAATGTGGTATCCACTCCAAATATTGACGCTGTCAATGACCCTAATCACTTCAGAAGCGGCACACGCCTTGTCGTAGACCTCTTCTTGATGTCTGTAAACTCTGTTTTGACCAATTTAGTGGTACAGGTGAAACCTGACCTCAATAAAGAAAAACACGCGGTTTCAATGTTCTACCAAGAAACGGTCATGGTCCCCAATTCATTAGAGAAACAGACTACGCTGTTTTGCTGTTTACAGTGGCTCCCTCAGAGGTGGCCTGTTTTCCTAACCTGCTGAAACCAGTTTGGTGTTCGCTAAGGGCCTTGAAAAACGCGTTTTCATGACAATTTGCCCCTCATCAAAAACGGACTGGGTGGTTTTGATTTAATTGCAGCAGCATATCCTGAAGGACATTGAGTCCTGTACCCTGGTGGTAAGATATCGATATATTGGGCGTGGTCTCTGTTTGGGTGCATAAGTCTGGGCATTACTCTATGAAACTGTGCGGACCGTTCCATTTGGCGCAATAATCTGCCTGGCAATATCTGTCTTTTTCGCACCATTCTGGCACAGCTTTACAATTTTGTAAAACACTGCTTAACTCATTTTACGCATTACAACACCGACCGCTTGTATGCAAAATTTCAAATTCTTCTATGCAGTAGTTGCCGACATATGGATACTTTTTTGACAGAACCATGCTTCATCAAAGCCAAGCTTTGACCAGCGCAAAGGAGCACTACCCAATTAAATCACTGCATATTACACAATGCAGCAGTGCAACAGACTTGGTAATAAGTTAATTGGTGGCGACACACCTGACTTCACACTTCTCCAGTCAGATATCTTATGTGAGATCTGAGTTTTTTTAAATAAAGAACGCATATTTACCTAGGTATACCTTTAAAACTGAAATATTCCATATTAAATGTCAAGTCTGTATATATATATATATATATATATATATATATATATATATATATATATATATATATATATATATATATATATATATAAGAGTAACACAGTATATTGTAATGTTGATAACATGTTAAACAGTATCTACATTCTGTCAAGAACTTAACATGGCATTTGGTTTAAATTCCTATATTTGGCATGGGTGACATTGGTAAACCTTTTCTGGCAGAAATGGAACAAATGTTTTGCTAAAGTAAAATTCAAATGTTTGTGCAAAGTGTTTACTTCTTATACACATACGTATATGTTTACTTCTTGTCACATGTACACGTATTCTCATGTCCTATTGCTTTTTTTGTCTTGTAGAACACAAAGACGCAAGTTTATCTGCCAAGACAGATATCCTAATTCTGCTCCAAATTATTGCTTCAAGATGACGGTTACAGCTCGTTTGTACGTTCTGCTGGCGGCTGTGATTTTTTATCCGTCGCCAAACAATGGTGGATTGCTGGGAATTTCTAAATCAATAAAAGAAAGCATAGAAGCGATGAAAAAATGCACGGCTCAGAGGACAGCTGGCCTCAGTGGACGAAGTCACGCCGATATCGTCGCCGCCGCGAAATTGTGGGCGCCGGTGGTCCGGTTGGCCGTGGGAGAGGAATGGAAACCATCCAGCGTCGATTATTTCCTCCAACACGTAAACTTACGCGGCGGTAGTCCCACGTCCGTCACTCCGAGCACCCTGCCCACCTGTAACAAGAACTGCTACCTGGAAACTAAGACGCCGTTATCTTGTGCCTCTTGTCGAGAACCTGCCGTCTTTAAAGGTCAGGATCCTGCCAGCGCCCCAGCATACGCTATATACGAGGACAAGGGTAGCGTTGTTGAAATCACTTATTGGTTCTTCTTTCCATACAACAGAGGAAAACGAGCGTGTGTGGGGTTCTATTTTAATAACGTATGCCCGTGCTTCAAGGCGTGGGGTCATTGCCTTTGTCCTCGAATTAACGGATGCGTAGGAGGGTACTCGACCTTTGGTAATCACGTTGGAGACTGGGAACACGTAAAGATAAAGTTCGATAATAACCAGATTTACTCCATATATTTGTCGATCCACGGTTCGGACACCACCAATAAATTTGGAGGAGAGTTTCTGTGGAATGGTAACGGATTCAAGAAAGGGGATGGCATCGTACAGATGACTGACTGCACACACGCTCAAGTCTACGCTGCCAAAGGGTCCCATGGAATGTGGCCAAACACAGGGGACCACGTGTACAAGAAACTCATCAACGGAGACAAGTTGAAAGATCTCTGTAGCGCCGGAACAGCATGGAAGACTGCAGATAACCTCAAAGTTGTCAAGATGTCCGCCAAAGGACAGTTTACTGGGGAATTCAGCTTTCTTAACTTCTTGGGTCGTTGGGGAAATCGGGAACGCAATTGTATTCCACTTATTGGTCAGTGTGTACTTTCAAATGGTCCAGGAGGTCCACCTAAGTGAAAATATTGGATGAATCTTTGGAAATGTTTTTCACACTTTAATTATAACGCACTAAATATGGTGAATCAAGAAAACTTTTTATTTTCTTCTGCATACATTTATGTATTTTGCTGCAGAGGCACTCTGATTATTTCTTGACATACTGGTAAACATTTTCAAAGGTAATTAATGGCATTGGTTATATTTCGGTGGATTGATTTATTTGAGTAAATTACTTAGTACAGCACTATTTTTCACTTTCAAAATCATATATTTAATTATTTTGTTACATTTAAAGATACACTCATCTTTGTAAATACGAAAGGAAAATTGTATGTACCCTGTAGCATTTTCAGGTTTCTGGGATATTGTCACGGGGTAACATAACATTTAAAATAATAATTTTGGAAAACCCCTCTTCGGTATACTGAGTACTTTCTGACCCTGGGCACTGTATTGTGCACCGGATGATAGTCTTTGGATTTAACGTGTAAAGTCATGTTTTATCTTTGAAGCGTGACAATTTGTAAGGGAAATTTGGACATTGATACCTAAGCAAAAACAATGACCTGCCTCCTGCATCACATTATACATAATAAGGTAAAGATATTAGCTGCATGTCGTAAATGATCTGTATAACCAATCTCATGTAATCCAGCATTTAGGTTTGATGATTTCACGTATTGTCCATGCAATCAGCATTGTTCAATAAGTAAAGTAATTCTGACCATACATGGTAAAGTGCACACGGTACTGATGTATTTGCACACGGTACACTATTTATTATGATATAAATATATCTGAAATTTATTGAAAAGTTAGTCAACTTTCCGAAAAGCTGAAGTGCTAAAGCAGAGGATCAACAAGTAGCAAGAGCAGTGGCTTAAAGGGTTGAAGTTAGCACATAGAAGTCCTGTAAACTGCACTCGGAAATAAAACAAAGTATATTCCACAAATTGACTCCTTTTATCAATAGTTACCAAGCCAATAACCTCCGTAACAATATCATAAAATAAGGCCTCGTCATATAAAGTCATTTTAAGTTCTGTTCTCAAATTTTCTACTCAAATTGCTGTTCATTTATATGCAGTGCTGTCTTGATTCATCTTCGAATTTTAAATGGACGTGTTTTAGTTGCGTCAAAGCCACTTAAATGTTTTGCAAATTTTGTAATTGACTCGCGTGATTCTGAGCTCCCCGCATACCTCCATAACTATTCAGTAAAAAAACTAGCGACTCATTGCGGGTTTCACTTAGCTCTCCCGGCTTCCTTAATCCGCTCCGACTTACGTGGTTGCAAAAGGCGATCCCCTAGCATCCCCAGATTTTTTCGCCTTTGTAATGATAGAACATTAAAGGCACACGTTCTTCCGATTTCTTTTCACTTCTGGATACAGTTCAGAAGGAATGTGTCAGGTGCTGTGAGTCACATGGGTGAATACAGATCGCATTTGACCATGAGAACATCTAATGCAATGTATGTGAGCTGCAGTCATTTCAGTGCCAGTTCAGGATATTCAATGAAACATCATTCTAGGCTTCAGAGATAACTTGAGATGTACAGGAATGCAGAATTGTCATCGGCTTCGACATTCAACAAACAAAAAATAAACTGAAACAAAATCTATATTGCATTCTGGCACTTATGCAGCGATCAGACACGTATCATTACAGACCAAATGCGGTCTTTACTCTCCGTCAGCCACAAGATGAAGAGAGGCTTCAACGGTTATTTTCCGAGATGGCCCAAGGCCTAGCGACGTTAACGTAAAATGAAGCGAAATTTGAGGGAAGTGGGGTCAGAAATTATGACAGACGAACAATTGCATTTATTGCATAAATAAATTTACGGAATAATGGTCACGGTTTGAACGTGGTTTTGAATTACTCCAGAGCATTCATGCCGTTTTGACAAAAATTATTTTCAATTAAACTGCTCGCAGTGGATTTGAATTGGATCATAATCACTCCGGTGGTCTGGATGACAAATGGATAGCCAACGATTTAACATTAGTACCCAAGTGTCTTTTTTCTGTTTCATTAGAACTCAGTTTTATCAAAAACCACTCTGAATGCTCCTTCTGCACTATTTAATCGCTGTCAATGACCGGACATTCTTAATAGTGAAAGACCTACAGAACAGTCCTGGCTGCACGGGGGAATATTGGAGTTAGCCTTGTAACGAAACTGAGGGTCCGTGTAACAGAAAGCCTGCTCTCCATTTAGTTAATGGTTAGGGTTAGCCAGACCCAAGTGGGTCAAAATCTAGGGCGAGGGTTACCAGTACAAATGAAGGAATCGGACTTTCTATCACGTCACACCAGCAACCCTATAAGTCGTTAGCTTTCTAGAAAACTGACGGCTGATTAGATGCACTGTCATCATGAACACTACCGTGAGGCCGTCTGACGACCAAATGTTTGACATTCCCGCGTTGAAGATAAGGACCCGGTTGTATTAATGCCAGACTGAACTCTCATAAATCGATAAAAAGGTTTCCGTTGAAATAATGTGTCACTGTCGGAAACTTCCCTTTCCTAAGTTAAGACAGTTAACATGGCTAGAAATGAGCTACGTGCGAACGTCAGGCATAATTAGTTTCGGTACTGTTTTATCTAGGTCATCCCATCCATTTTACACGTAAAGGTAAATGTGAAAAGTCTAATATGTCTATCAAACAATGGTCCATCTTTTAGATGGATGTTACACGTTATTTCAGTTACTGTGAAATCTAAACATTTGTATCTGAAATAGAGGAGAGATGTTTATGATGTATACGGATAATGAGAGAAGACGAGAAAAACGTTACACATGAAGTAATTAGCGTCCATGCTACAATGTGTTAAAACAAATATAAAAAAATAATAATAATTTGGAAAAGAACATGTAAATACAGTGTTGTGAATAAATTAATCGGCTAAAATTGGTATCGGACACTGAGGAGCATGTAGCTGTTACACTGTACGTGATCCCGCGGGCTATCTACTGGTATGTGCGTTTCAAAGAGTATTTCACGAATACTATTTGCTTTTCATGCCTTAGAGTTAATATACATGTCGGTTGCCCTAAGAGACGAATATTTTCTAACTGTAGCAATCATAAATTGGTATCAATTACGATTGTCGTAATAGAGTCGTTTGCTTAATTTACCGGTGTATCGAAAACAAAGATTTAACAATCAAAATCCCGAAACATAACTTTTGTTTTGGTAAATGAAAACGACAGAAAAAAGATCATGACAACGAAGGTTTGTAGCAATAATCTCCTAAACTCATTGTCCAGTTGCTTGAAATCGTAAGCAAACGAAGGTTTCGTACGAGTGAAACAGGGCAACAAGATAGGCAGTATTCATTCTGGCACTACTATTTGTGAACACCTTTACGTGAACGACCTAAGGAAGATCAATTAAGTAGAATACAGACAATAGACTCAAGAAATGAACTAACAGAGATTGTTCAGAGACAACATGCGCTTTTTGTTTGCATACCTAGAGAGGACGTATAAATATTTTATAACAAATCGTTAATTACGAGCACGGCATCGATGCATGCAACTGTGTTGAACGTTTGTGTTCAACTGTGCTCAATCTCTTCCTTGGTTATTCCTCCCATATAACCCCCCTTCACTCGATATATCACCATATGTAATTCAGGGTACCTGCCATACAGGAAATTCGTCAGGCGACGGGACATTGAAAATAATGCTGAGATTTTTTACGAGTTAGCTGAGTCATATTCTTGATTACTGCAACTGAAGATACAGAAAAGTTTTTAAACACGTATTGGTTTTTTTTAATCTGGCTGTTAAACCTTGCAACTTTACCCTACCTCCGTTCTTCAGTGGCCCTTGCCTGAACGGGTTTTTATCATACTGGTTAGGTGGATTGCACCAGTCCATGTGAAAATTTCAAAACCTAAAAAATATCATTCCTGTGAAGTTTTTTCTTGTTTGGTTTACGTTTTGGAATGATTTGCTCCCAATACATAACACATAAGAATAGGCAAATAGTTTTTTCTTCTTGTTATGAATTTCAAAGCATATTACACAAAATGCGGCTCAAATAAGAAACAAACACATAAAATGTCAAAATCTGTTTACTACAATAACTCCATCATAATATTAATAGTCTTAATGAAAATATTACATTCACATAAGAATGCGATTGACGAGTACACATACATTTCATTTAGCAGTGCCAATAGTTGAAGTTCTTAAAACGATTTTTTTAAATTTCACATGCACTGATTTGGCGCACCTTACATGTATCACAAAATTGTTCAAGTCCTACTTGTTCCTTCTTTTCCAAATCTCAAATCTCCCCTCAGTCACATTATAATTGGACAGGAGCATGCCAGCATGATTCTGCAAGAAGCGATGCACATAAAGCAATTTAAAATAGCCCATTAAAACATTCTGTCACCCACGTCACCGTCTGTCTTCAAGTAGTCATTCTGGAAAATACGGTGTTTGTTCCTAGGTAAAGCAAATACTTTTTTCCAAAATAGAATATGAATTTTTAGAAGGAAAACAAATTGATTCATTTTTTTCACGAAGTAATGCAGAAAGCCAAACTCTACACATATACACTGTCCGCGTTAGCTAAATAGTATTGCAACTACGTAACCTGCGAGGAAATAATAGCAGTGAGAATTTACTTTTGGAATCAAGAAAAAATATCTCATTAGGAAACATTATTTCTAGGTTCATGTATTAGAGGCAGACAGAAGACGTGCACTCATAGATAAGAAAATAGAGTAAATATTCGCGTATCTGAACAGTGGAGCTAAAAGGCAGACTTCATTTTTTTCTTTAACTGGTAAGATTTTTACAAGTTGTGTAATGGAAAAGATCAGATGCACACAAACAAAAATGTTAAATTCAAATAAAGTAAACCTCCACGTCCGTGGAGATGAGATCTAAATGCCAAGGAGCGCAGTTACTGGCTGCACGTTAACGCCTCCGTCAAAAACACACCGCCTAAGCCAGCAGCTGTCTGTCTGTTCACCGGCCAGACTGCATAACAGGCCAGGAAGAAAAAAATCTCGATTTCTCGTGAGGTTGAAATGCTGCTGAGCGTGCCATCTGTGCTGTGAAATGATGTTGAACGCGATCTGTTAATTCTATTCTGCTACTGTTCGATCCCAGTGCTTAATCGCGTGCTCTTCTCATATCGGGTTTCTGGCTGAACTGTTAACATTTAAACCCTAGGTGGATGAGGTGGAAAATTCACTCTATCTATTTTGTAGCGAACCGACGAGTACCTTCTCAGTATGTAACCTTGCATCAGCCGTTGCATTGTGGAGAATGGTGGATTATTTTAGGAGTCCGAGTCAAACTCGTGCATGTCAAACTTGAGTACATTTATTGACAGAAGATTCAGAATTGTAGCGGATTTTTTATACTTGTTTTGTGTGTGCATAAGACGCGTGTTTGAACAACAGAAATGTAAGCAGAGCGGAAGAACTTTGAAGATGAAAATCGAAGTCGCAACCAGAGCTCAAAAACTATGTTGAAGATGGTCGGAAAATAGAATTGCATTTGTGCCGGGATAAGTGCATGTTTCGAGTCAACAGACCACTTTTTATCAGCCACTCTTTGGCTTATTCTGGGTCACGTAATACACATTTTGATAAACTAGACTTAGTTATTTAGCATTAACTCCTGACGCTCCACGTACGTACAGTGTGCCACCACAGGCAGTGCCGAAAGTACGCTTCAAAAAATCTACATATATCATTAGTTCTATATACAGAGCATATAAACACAGCGAATATTTTCAACAAAGACAGCAATAAAGCAGGGTTACTGGATAATTTCGAGGAAGTTCAAGAGAGCGAAACTAGCAAACGGCGAACGGTGTTTTGTGAAAATAATCACTGATCGGCAACTTCCTGCAAGCGTGCGGAGATTCAACCAGGGAGCCCGAACTATATACTTACAGTACAACAGTAGCGAAAATGCATCTACTGCGCCTCGTTGCAGTGCGTTGTTAGAGAAGTTACAAAAACGTCGTTTTATGGGTAGCTAGGCGAGCGTGCACTTAACGCTAGCTATTTATAGGTGTTTGATTTGTGGGGCTTTTACTTCACACAATACCACTAAGCCGGGCGGATCAGGAGGCAGTGGCTGGAGAGGCAGAGAGTGAAGGTGAAAGAGTTCACAGAGCTCAAGAACCATGATCGTGAATCGACGTGAGTATAATAATGTAAAATAACGTACGCTTTATGCGTGTGTTTGCCAGTACGGGTGTGTACTAGTACGTACATGTGTATGGGAATTTTATAAAAACGTTGTGGGGGCACTTGTATAGTGAAATGTGTGTGTGTGTAGTAGTGCATAATCAACTTGATGTTATATAATTAGTAAGGTTGCTAACACCTCTGTTTATGGAGGTCAGGGTCGGGAAAGGCCACCCATTGATAAGTTGTGCGTGTGTGTGCGTGTTTGTCATCGCGAGTGTGTGCGTATATTTTAGTAAGTTACATATTTATATAGGTGAAGCGTGTGGGTGTGTTTGTGAAGAGTCACCAGGTCATGGTCGATGCGGTTCCCTTCTTGTTTACATTATTCGCACGTGTTGCAAAATGGCAGGTAGATAACTTACCTGTATATACACACATATATATGTAGGTAAAGGTGCACGAAGTATGGCATTTGGGCTTATGGGAACAGTAGTCTAATAACACCCAGCACTGGGTCACGATTAACTATTTAACAAATGACAAACAAGAGTTTTAATCTACTGGGGTCCCTACGTGCGTAATAAATCTTAATATTAAATAAGCTTAATTTTGTGTGTGGAGGCTTGTCATATGTTAAGTGTTAAGCAATAGCATGACTCTGTAGTGGCGTCCCTTGAACGGTCGCACAATGAAGACTTTGTGTTTGTGGCGAGTGGTGGGAAGTGCTTGGTGTCTTCAGGCTACAGCCGTGGAAGGTACCCTGGGTTTCCAACGTCTGGTGGAGTTTCCTTTCTTCACAGCATAGCCAGCGACTAACTTTTACTTTTGATGGAGGAATAGTTTCAACAGACCCTCAAAACCAGGGTGCTTACGGAGGCGGCCAAGCGTTAAAATTAGCGTTGCACGTCGATCGTCAACAAGGTTTAACTGACGTAATTTCTCGCCTTTGAATTATATATTGTCATTTCTTTAGATCATTCATACTTGTTAGGATAACAAGCGCTTGACAGAGTGTACCTTTAAGTAGTGGACGCAAAATAGTCCCGCGTTCTTCCCAGTGAGGGTGAATACAACTGACTTAGGGACCTTGAAATAATTTAGTGTACTAGGTTCTCGAGTAATATTTTGTAATCACTGTTACGCATACATTTTGTTGTTCCTCTTTCCCTCTTTCTGTATATAAACATTCTTGTTCCATATGCGTTCAACATGGCTTAGTTATTCTTAGGTATTGTTGACATTGTTCATTTGTTACTCAAGTAGAACGGGTGCGGTGGGTGCGTTTATGTTAGAACAGTTACACGCAATATTTCTAATCGCTCGAAAAGCGCGGTTGTTTTTCATTGTGGCGGGTAATGTGTGCGCTCCAGCAACAGTTCTCTCAGTGCATTTCCCATTTTTCCCTGCAGAAAGCACATGGTATATGATATTGCATGTCTTGATTTACCTTACTTGCGTTTACTTTTATTAATTAAGTTTGTTAGTTTTTAATATTATTTATTTTAACTTAAATAAAAATAAAGGTATGTGTAAATGTAGTGAATGAAACAAACTTCTGAGGGGGGGCTTTTATTTTATGTATGTACACTGCGCTTGCACTTCCTCGCTTCATTCTATATAAATATTGAAGAGATTACTTTCATAGGCAGGCGTAATATTTTGATAAGGTCAACATACACCAGCTTGTGTCAATACATCACGTTATTCCTCCACTTTCATAAAGTATGCACGCGAAGGTCTTGAATTATTTCAATGTTGAGTGAGTTATTTCAGGGAAAATTATCGATCTACACAAATCAAAGAAACGCGGAGGCACCGTCTTCTGATAAGATAATTAAGCACTCCCGGGTAAAGATTCACTATCTCACGCGAACTGCGAGATTTCCTAGGTATCTCATGCTAAAGCTCTCTCTCTCTCTCTCTCTCTCTCTCACACACACACACACGTGCACACACACACACGCCTACATAAGAGCGCAAACGCACGCACGCACACGTGCTCATACCCGCGCTGCCACACTAAAGTGCGCGCACACACTTAAATTTGCGCACACATACAAGCACTTATACACCTCCGGAATGTCCACAAACCTGAGTATTTTTCAATTCACAACCTTGATCGTCTCCACTGAACACTGTAGACAATCCAATACATTCATACTCAACAGTTGCGAAGTGTTACGAGGACTGAACAATAGATTACGTAGAGATCGCCAGTGCAGGACAGTGCTTAACCCGCAGGTCCCCCTGTATAACAATGTGCAGATATCTCCAATCAGGCCTAAAATCCAAATTTAGCCGGAGCGACGGAAACGACAGGCGCTTGTACAATGTACGTGCATGGACCAGTGATTCAAAAGAGCTAATTATAGGTGAAATGCAATTCCTGTTTATCACAACTGATCAGCTGGTTACATATTTATGATGTGCGACAAGAGAGATATGCGGGTCTGTGAGCCGAGTACCGTTTAACATAACAGCCTTGATTCGCTTGACACAGGTATTGTGGAATACTGGGTAACTGAAGCCGTGTTTTTCCAACAGACACAAAGGGTTAGACCTATATACAGTGCATTTATTGAACTGCTTTCCAAATACGACAACGACAGAAAAGGATTCACTTCGACATACCTGTAAAGTTATCTATAGTACATGTAAATGTATGGGACGTCAATTTCGTGATACGAGAGCGGATTGTGGACTCTTTTCGGCGTAGAGTAACAGGCAGGGGATAACACAGTATCTCCAATCCGCTTCCTTTTACCCGAAATTACTAATATACGCACACTAACAACGACAACAAGACAGTGGAATATATTTGAGATCACTGCTGCACGTGTATGTCAACCGAACAGAACTAGGAAAATGAACCATTCGTCGAATGAAGATAATCATTGTGGATAGAAAGCAAAAACCATTTCCATCCTCCACTAATACAAGTGCCCGCGGCCTGGTAATTGACAGTCAGCGACCAAGACCAATTCCCACGTTATAAGACAATTGGAGAAAAAAATCTTAATTGGACTTGAGGGCAGTTTAGCTACTGGAAGCAAAAATGGAAGGTTAGTTGAACGGTTGAATTATATTATGCACGTGTGAAAGCAATTCAACAGGCGGACCAGGGTGACATTTCACCGACACAGTGATCTTTCCCCCTTTGGTATTTAGGGTGCTTATATATACAGTGCTTCAGAGATTGCTTCATACTTCCCTCAATACGGGGGAGGGGGGAGTACCTCTCTTATCACTCTGCCTCTGCCTTTGTTAGGCCTGTAGCAATGCTTTTATCAGAGGTGGGTTTCCAATAACCCCTGAAACTCAGGGTGAACGTTTTAGTAGAAAGGTAAAATATATCTGTTTCGACTTCCATGTCCCTATCAATTAATTAGAGCATGAAACATAACGAAAGCGGGATCTCCTTTAATTCTTGATGAAATCTCAATTACCTGCATATATAAGCTACACAGTGTTGCTGAGCATTCGGTATGATTCTATGAAGTTTATGCAATACATGATTGTGTATATGTGAGCTGTTATCAAATCAGGCATGCCCATTCGGGTATTGATTGTTTGGTTTGTTATAAGGTACACACACATATATTTATCCCCCGTTAATCATATCCAGAAAATATATTCTCCGTCATAGGTTATGTTTAGAGCACCGCCTTAACAAGGTCAAATCGCAGATCCATGACTATTGTATGATGCAGATAAGAGCCTTCAGGTGAATAATGTATTACTGCGCATTCACTGTGTTACTTCCGTAAACCTGCATATCGATGTCTATGCATTTTTAATGTTAAATGTGAGAATAATGATACATGATAGTAGTCAGACGTGAATTGCATTTTGTAGCAATGTTCGCAAAAGCCCCTCTCTTTCATCAACCACGGACGCAAGCACGCACACAGGCATGCACACGCGCACGTACACTTACATAGACCCTACATACAAACATTCCCACTGGAGTAACCTCTAACAACCGCTGAGTCACTTACTGTAATCAAAGCAAAAGTTCATACCTCTTTCATCTTAAATCGCTTACTAGATTTTTCACTCGATAAAAAACGCCTGATAAAAGCGATGCCAGCAATTCGGCCGCAGTTTTATAATTGAAAGTCGTTACCGCCTACATCTAAAGAGTCTAGTTTCCTATCTACAGCACACGGATTCTGAATTATAACTGATATTCGAGGCACATAAATGTATATCACACCGCCATTTGGTGCGCGACAATGATGTATCGCTTTTCATTTCCACAATGTGTCGCATTCCACATGTCGTAATTGCTTTTAGTGTCACATGCTCTTTCTGTATAAGATTCTGGCACAGACTGCGTGATGCTATCCCATAACACGGTCAAGATGATTTCAGTGCCTTTTAATCATTACAGTAGTCATGTCCACAGTATTCTGTGACGCGAAAACCGTAGCGTACAGTACGTTATGTGCAGTGGGCAGTGCATTTACTGACTCCGAGTTTGTCAAGCCTGTTTTATGGTATTCTTGGTCAAGAGGAGCGATTTCGCGTGGTTTTTATATCTGAACCTGCCCGTGGTATGTATTTTTTGCGTGTTTGTTACCGTGTGCGTTTTTAATTCAGGTGATGGGGGTTGAAGAGTGTCAGTGCTAATAATGGTTTGGAGTAGCGACATGGGTCTCCCCTGCTTGCTTTGAAACGGTTAAGTTTTTTATTGTGTCAATCGATAATACAGTCTGTATGCGTTTAATGTGTCATTATACCGATTTTCCCGCTATATGCACAATTAACCTTAGCAGCCGGTGCACAACTGGCGTAAGTGACCAATATTAATTGAGCTGTGCAATCTCGGCGTATGGTTCATGGTTTGCACTTCACGGGGCACTCCAGACAGTGGGATGATTGACCTTCCCCTACTCAGGTGGACGAATGCTGTTTCACACGAGTAAATAATTAAGTGAAGTTGCGCGTAGGGAGACAGTTATAACGCAACAGCTAGCCCATTGCTGTGAAGAATAAAATGTTGGGGTATTAAACATTTTATCTTGAAGCCGAATCAGAGATTTTGGCAGTGTTGAGACACGCCCGCACGCACACACAGAACTCTGTATCATGCGCGTGGACAAACAAATACACACGCATACTCAAACACGCACAGAAACGGCCCGCGTCGGGCTTGTGCGTTCTCTCTCTCTCTCTCTCTCACACACACACACACACACACACACACACACACACACACACCTAAACACATCCCGTTGCTTTTTTATTGGCAAAATTCCCTACAGAAGTGATTAAAAAAATTTTAGCCTGGGTAGAAACTCTTCTGTTCTGATGTCATAAACAACCGAACATGGTATAGTCTGTATAGTGGAAACAATTTCCAGGGCGCTCAGTTAGATGCAGTGGTGAATTTTGTTTAATGCACTTATCTGGATAGCAGTTCCATTAGTCCCAGGGTCAAGGAGAGTTAATTCTCCCCATGTTACGATCAAATTCGATTAGAATTGACAATTTAGCACTCCGAGAAGACTCGAATCAGGTGGCTTTGCCCACCGACAATTACATTTCATAGGTTAATGTGCCTGTTAATCCATTAAGGTGATGGCCGAATGGCGAATGTCTTCACGTGAAGTGTTACATGGTTCTTTATCTATTGGTTTTGGCAAGGGGTTGTAGATTTAACCATTAAGGATAGCCTCGGAAGTTTATGTTAAGTCTGTGTCTTATTTTTAAACATTGGAACATCGTTTTGCGTTTGCGTGATCGGGAGGAGGAAGCTGCTGAAGCAACCAGATCAACTTTGCTTACCCTCTCCTAGAACAATTCTGGTTGCCATGGCAGCATATCTATGTTCTGCTCTCAGTCTGTAAACGAACACAATACCTTTCTTAAAACTTTATAACGAATGCACCGCCATCGCTTCGGCTGTTCACTGAAATAGTGATATGTGAAGACTTTTTGTCTATATGCGAATGCTACGTACAAGTAAAATTGTAGGAGTACGGAATTGTCGTTGCCTGTGTCTATGATATAGTATTTTAGAGATATATACTGGTTGGGTTCAAAGGAATCAATTGTATCTCTTTGCGTCATCACTTCTGTCCCAGGGGTGCTTTTTTTCGGTTTCTGGTTGTGGTTTCTTCCTGGAAAGAAAAGAGAACAGAAATTGAAAAAAACTTAAGCAAAAATCGATTCAGCTAATTATCTCAATAATTGCACCCGTTTTACTATTTGCTTAAAATTATCGTAGTTTTTATTATTCACTTTCTTAAACTTATTTGTCATACTTTTGTTCTTGTGGTGGTGGTTGCCACCGTAAGGTTTATTCCCTTAGATTACTCTTACGTTTGCCATTCCTTGTTCTAGAGAAATTACTAGCACCTCTTTAAAGACAGGACCGAAATGTTACAGGGTTATTATTGTACGGCTTGTGTGAAATGTGCTGAGGTAGTGGGACTGGCATTTTAAGTTATTCAAAAAGACTGGACCAGAAGATACTCTTATAAGGTATGTTCTTTTAGGGCATATTTTACACATGAACACACACACACACAGAGACATGAACACACACACACACAGAGAGAGAGAGAGAGAGAGAGAGAGGATCCACATTGTATACTTGTGTCATATTCAAGAACATTGGGGGTTAATCGAGAGATCTTTACGGCTTTACAGACGAGGAATATTCCAGACCAGAACCTGGCCTGCTTACGGCATCAGGACGACCAAGTATTTAACATCTAAAGTGTCGCGGGTTCTCTCTCTTTGAGTCGTCGTCTGATAACGCCAGTTAACCCTTATTCCAGTGTTAATCAGTCCTCGTCTGAACAGATTTTCGGAGTGCTGCGTTTCATTCTTATTATACAAAATCAACAAATACATAAAATACCAGGTGAAAAAAAGGGTAAATATATTGCGTGTGTATACTGGACATGATGTAAATGAAAGGTCACACAATATTCACTTAATTTGTCCCTGGCTCCAGCTAAATGTTCTCAGATCGATAGATTCATATTGTTGGCGACACTGAGGGTCCCAGTAGAGAGAAAATGCCATACCCATAATTAGATTCGTATCAGTTACAAAAAATGAAAACTCGCTGTCTGTAGATTAAGGACTATCTAGCGATGCACTTGTGATGTTGCTATCGGAATTTGACATTTTAGTGTGTCTGAAATAACATTTTCGTCAAGCAAAACTATATCTATTTTTTCACTGCCAACAAGTACAGCCCGTGTATATAAATACAGACGACATTTTACATTTGGAATTTAGGGCTACGATAACCTTTAACTGAGTTAATTGAAAATGTTAACCCAGTGGGAGATCAAGGGAGAGCCATAGTGCCATTCCCACCATATCTCTAAATAGTGTTTTTCCTCGTGATTTACGTTGACGGCACAACCATTGCGTTGGGTATCTCAACTGTCACAATTGTCTCTCCGAGTCCTTCATCAACGATCTAAGCTTGATACTTAGAACAAATCTGTGATATGATAATCAGTTTTCATTTACTAGACGGTAAAGGTCATTTGGAATTTGAACGTATTCATTATGGGAAGGGGATGTTAAAGGTTTAGGGATGTTGTATAGAAATTAATGTCATATTTTGGAACCACGCGATTATCTGAACCACGCCCTGTATGTTTTATAGCTAACAGCTGGCATTAATTCTTTTATCAAAGAAAAGGCATCGAGTGGGCACACTTCAAGTAAAAATCTGCGTGTAGCATTTATGATGTTGGACATTCAATTAGCATCGCATGTGAAGTAGATCTCTACACCCTTTTGCGTATTCGAATATCTTACGTCGAGCAACCGATTATCTTTGATAACAGACGTACGTTATACTGTAATTGATAGACACGTTTTTTTTACATAATAAACAGTGGTTGTCATCATTCCAGAACTATCATTGTGATAATCTATGAAACAGTCAATCCGGTGTGACCATTTTTATTATGTGGCCCGAATACAAGACACTTTATCCTCCAACCTTTTATGTTAACTGGCAAGTAACAGTAACATTGTATTCTTTTACATTTTGAGCACATCTAAAAAAATCACCAAAAATGACAAA